AGTGATAGCTGTGGCATGTTCTTTGGCAGTTCCAGGCTTTGGCAAATCCAGCTACCAATCAACTTCCCATCAGGAATAGGACAACACTATGGAGACAACCTGTGAGATACCAGCATATTTTATCTTCAAAATTCCATCTTTTATGACAAGATAATTCAGATTAATTTTGTTTTGCCACATATCTGAACATCTTCAACATTGCAGTATTATAATGCAGTGCTTATGGGGTGGAAACTCTTTAAAGAATCATTCTAACCTGGCACCAGGCATGTATAAAGACATGGTTTCCCAAGACTCAGACACACAGCTGAAAAAACAAGTCCAACATGACTCTCCACTAGTAAAATGCCTTAAAAGCTGATGTTTCTATGGGTAGGTGTTAAGTATTTACTGGGGATTCAGAAAAAAATGCATTTATTCTCAGAAAGACCCTAAATGTACAACACATCCATAGTATATAATTCAGATGTGGAACTCCTTGCCACAGGGAACCTGAATACTGAATTTTAAATGAATTCAGATGGCATAAATTCTTGTCTGACAAATGTCAGGTACTATTCAGAACAGAGGTACCACATCCTGCTCAGGAATAGCCTGAGTCACCAGTCAGTTTATTCAAACATTCAGAGACTATTCAGAGGATGTATCACCCTATATTTGGTCCATACAAGCCCTTCCCTCAGCATTTACTATTCAATGTTGTGTGAGACAGGGTACTGTGGGGAAGGGAGCACTGGTCCCACAGACCATAGCTATTCCTCTGGTTTTAGGATTCCACAGACAAAATAACTGCTCTTCATAGTGAGCACTCCAACATCCCTTAGTAGTCCACAGTGAAGTTTTTAAAGCCATTAACCCAGAGCGTACAGAACTAATCTACAAAGCTTGAGGGGAATCTACTCTTTTCCATAATGATCTTCATGGCTTTTATACATAAGAAAACAACTGTAGTTAAGAAAAAAGATGATTCCACAAAGCCCCAGTGCCTTGTCTTGCCTGAGGTTCAGTAGTCACTGCAGTTACTAAATGCCCCTGACAGGGGAGAAATATGAGACCATGTTTCCATGCACAGGTGAGTGTTCTGAACAGAGGCCACTTGTTTAATAGGAAATGTCCAGCATCATTGCCATTCCCATATCTTTTAAAAGTCTAGATATTAAGGTTACCTGTACTTCCAATCTATACTTCCACTGGCTAATGTAACACTACAATTTAGGCGATACCAAGCCTAAGCTATTTCTCTGACTCTAGCTGAGCACTGCCATATAACCCAGAGGACACAACACACGCCTTCCTTTATTCTATTTGAAAGCAATGCTGCTAATTGAGGAAAGTCCCAGGCTTTCTGCTATAGAGGACACAACACACGCCTTCCTTTATTCTATTTGAAAGCAATGCTGCTAATTGAGGAAAGTCCCAGGCTTTCTGCTACTATGGCCAATGCCAAAAATTGAGCAGCATGAAATGCTTATGCTAACAAACAATAAGAAAAGAAGGCAGAATGGGTCTTCTCTCCCAACATAAACCCCCAGGCAAGAATATCCATGGTGACAGGGAGCCCTGAGGCATTTGCAGCAGACGGAATATTTCCAGACAGATGAAAACACATTGTACTGCCAGAGCCACATAAGCCATTTCTGATTTGGTCAGCATCATCTTATGCATGATTAACTAATGACTTTGTATTCAGCTTTACAGTCAGAGAACTGCCCAGCTTAAGGCATCCTAATTATTTTCCTTTTTGATTGACTGCAACTTGCTCTCTTATGGGAAACCTGAGAAATGTTTTGCTTGGATGCATGTGCATATTTTTTCTTGTCCAAAAAATATGCTACCTTAACTTTATATTCTTCTATTTTGTAGATTATAATTTTAAAATCTAATATCCTTGTTAGGTATTTACAACATTAAAATGCTGTATGCTGTACAGTGTTTAAAGAGACAAACAAATCTTCATTTACTGAACTCTGTTTATGTTACTTTCAGTTATTTGAGAATAACCAGATGATTATTATATTGTAAATATGATCAGTATTTCTCTGCTCCTTTCTTCTGTTGATCTTGAAAAAACAACATTTCAAAAGTCAGATTCCTTGAAAAGGTATAAATAAATAAAGGTATCTTGTAATAGTAGTTTCAAAAAGACTGAAAAAAATGTGGGAACTCAGAAAAAACTTTTATTCTATCCTACTATAAAAAACTTTTATTCTATTCTTCTAGCTATAAAACTTAATAGGTTGACAGAATAGGTATTATCTTGCTCCATTAGGTTATACTACAATTTAAGTTAGCATGACTGATCTAGTTTACCTGGCCACCTTCTTCATCTTCTAAGCCATCGAGTATAAGTAATCACTTTAAAATGCACTCCTACATCATCACAGCTGTATCCTGTCTGCACTGGTGAATGAATATGAGAGTTTGCCCAAAGGAAGCCATGGCATTGAGGGAACAAGGCTGGATTTTCTCCTAAGACCCAGTGTTTCTTTTCCCAACAGGACTTCAGATGAAAGAGAGCCATCTACTGCTCTACATGAGACATGCTGCAGCATGTCATTCTAGACTGATAATTTGAAATGTCAGGGTGGGATTTAGGGAAGGAAATGGAAACCTCTGCTGTTTTCCTCTTTTATGCTGTGGAGTCAAGTGACAGGGGAAGCAGGGCGCTGAGCAGTGCTGTCCACCACCTCCCCAGCCTAGAACAGAACACAGCTGCATCCAGAAATGGAAGTAACCAGGGCAAAAGTGTTTGAATACAAACAATTGTCCATTTTAGAAATAAAAGAAATGAAGTCTGGAAATATTTCAAATCCTCCACATCAGGAGGATGCATCAGAAGTATGACACACTGGCAAAGCAGACCAACAACCAGCAGTACCTGATAGGTTGGACAGAGCCAAACCATGTCTGTTTCCACACAACTACAAACAAAGACAGACTCCAGGGTGTCAGGAATGACATTCTTACCTGCTGTGACAAAGGTAAGTCCTCCTCACACACTCCTGAATCTATATTCATGGGTGTCACCTTTGCCTTTGTAGGGCTGCAGCCTCACAATCAAGCTCCTTGCAGTGCAGTGTGTCATTAAGATTGACTCCATGGTGAGGGTCTGCAAGATCCCAGAAGGAGGCAGCAAGGCAGAGGAACCCATGTTCCTTGTTAATGCAAAGGGTTTTGGCACTATCATGTACTGAGAGTGTAGGTAGATTCAAAATACAACTTGCCTTACGGAGAAGAAATAAGAGGTTAAAAAAATGGGGAGTTCTAGAAAAAGCTTTGTCTATCATTCCAGGCCCTGCAGCCCCTCATCCTCCTTGTGTTATGAAGGAGTCTGTGGAGAGCTTGTGGTTCAGCCTGTGGGTGGAACTGATCACACTCATGATCCTGTGCCTGCTGCACACAGTCCTGGCCGTACACCCCTACACTTCCTTCCTCACAGGCTGGATGCTAGTTTCTGGTGGTATGTGCAGAAATGCCAAGAAGAGTACAGCATGTGAAATGCAAAGCTAAAGGTTGAGTATTACAAACCAAATCACCAATTCTCATAAAATTAGACAAAATATGTTTGATACTTGTTTTGTTTTTCTGGTTTTTTTCCCTTAAATTTAGCTGTAAGAATGGGTTCCAGTAAGTTTGACTCACAGAAGACCCTCAGGCTAAATTTCAGAACCAGAACAGAAGCACTGATTTGCTTCATGTTTTCACACAGATGTAATACCATATGATAGGCACACAGCCACAGCTGTTCTATTGATACTTGCAAACTCATGTACCTACCTTATGTGAAATGATACAGCTGAATATGCTGCCAGGAATCTTTTACATTCCTCTGTTTTCCAGTATACAGAATTTTCCAGGCAATTACTTGCACACCAGTAGGATGGCATGGGCATCTAAGCAAAGGTAAAACTTTCAGTGGAGGACCAGCAGCATCATCAAAGTGACTCAGCACTCAGCCCTGGCAAGGTTGATGAGTGAACAAGGTGGGTGGAGCTGTCTCTCATGTAGGAAAAAGCCTGTAAAACCTACTCCACTCTGTTGTTAGCTTTGACTGAGATTGAAAAACACTCATTCCAAGAGGAGAAGCTCTATTACATACCCCACAATGCTTATTAATCTATATTGGTGCATTTTCACATGTATTCCATCATGGGACTGGAGCACCTTCCCTGTGAAAACAGGCTGAGAAAATTGGCACTGTTCACCTGGAGAAGATAAAGTTGTGAGAAGGTGGAGACCTTCTCCATTATCTGGCAGGGAAGCCAGAAAGGAACCCTGTCAGGAGCTGTACTAACAGGACAAGGAGTAATGGGTATAAATTGAGAGAGAAAAAGTTTAGGTCATATAGTAGGAAGAAATTCTTTACTGTGAGGGTAGTGAGACACTGGAACAGGTTGGCACGGAGAATTGTTGATGCCGCAACCTTGGCAGGGTTCAAAGCCAGGCTGGAGAAACCTGATGTAGTGGGAGGTGTCCCTGCCTATGGCAGGGGAGGTTGGGACAAGATGATCTGTAAGGTCCATTCCAACCCCTTCACATTCTGATTTTAAAACCTCACTCCAGCAGTTGTGCACTGCACACACGCACAAAGCAAAAAGACCATGGGCTGCAGATACTGCAATTTATTGTTAAATGGTACTTCTGTGGTTTAGAGAAAGACCCAACGCCTCCACCTCCGGCCTTCCCTTCTCCTCCCGCGGCTGCCGCAGTGGACCCGCACCGAGAGGCCACTCGGCCGCACTAAGAAGCAGCCGCTTGTGGTGAATCATCCTGATCAGATTTGTCCTAGCTACGAGGACCTTGTCCCTAAGCATTCGAGACAGGGCGCAGAGCGACACCCGCCGCCCGCCCGTGGGCGCGTTCGAGCGGGCTCGGCAGCCAGCGGCGGGGAGCGAGCGGAGGGAGGAGCGAGGGAACACGCCCTCACTAAAGATGGCGGCCGAGCGCGGCCCGGGGCGTGGCGCTGCGGGCGGCCCGCCCCTGCCTGCCACGTGATCGCCGGGGCTGCGGCCGCCGCTGCCCGGCCCCGCCGGGGCAGAGCCGAGCGGCCGGGGAGCGGCCGAGCCGAGCCAAACCAAACTAAACCGAGCCAAACCGAGCCGAGCCGGGTCGGGCCGTGCCGTGCCGCGCCACGCTCCCGGCCGCAGCGGTGGCGCCGGGCGGTTTGGCCCTGAGCGCGCTGCGCGGTGCGGGTGGCAGCAGCGAGATGGAGCCCGAGGAGGGAGAGGATCGCACCCCACTGCTGAAGGAGCCCCAGCCCGACACGGGTGAGACGGGCGGCAGCTGCCTCTGTGCGGCGGCGGCGCGTTGCCGTGGAGACGCGGACAGCGAGCGCCGCTGCGGGGCCCGGGGTCGGTGCCGGGGTGACTGGAAAAGCGGTGACTGGAAAGGCGGTGACTGGAAAAGCGGTGACGGGGGCAGCCGTGCCAGGCCCGGGAGCTGCGCCGCCCCCCGCGCCGTTGGTGGCGGTCGGTGCCGGGGACGCCGCCGTGCCCGGGGTGCCGGAGCAGGCACGGCCACGAGTCCTGGCAGCGGCCGCGGCTCTGTCGGTGGCGGCTCAGGCGTGCAGCCCTGTCAGACACCAGCCCTCGGATCAGTGTTGTTGCAGTAAAGGCATTCCAGCCCAAGTACCGGTCCAAATATTAAAAGCTACCGAGGTCCACCGAGATTGTGTCAAAATTTCATATGATGGCAGAATTTGGGTGAGACTAATTGCTTGTTGCAAATATGGAGAGGAAGGAAGGTTGAAAGGATGCACGAAGGTAGGAGAGGAGACTCGGTATACGGTCAGAGCTTAACAACAGAACCCGCATGCTTATATTTATCTGTGCTGTTTTGCTTCCCAGAATGTACAACCTATAAAGAGTAGAGCAAGATTTTTAGTTTCTTTAGCATGCCATGCAAAAATGCCCTAACCTACTTGGCAAATGTGCAACTGCATCAAGTGGTGCTGCTAAGAAAATTACTTTAAAAGTGCCAGAAGGAGAGAATTTGAGCTCAAGTCTTCTTCAAGCAATATGTTCTTAAGTTTGCACAATGCATCGGGCTCCAGTTGGAGGTGGCTCACCTCACCCACAAGGAAAACTACTGCAGATGAGCAACTTCCTTTAAACTGCCGTGCAACTTGCAGCACAGACTTTTTTTAACTGCAGTTTAAGCATTTTGTTAAATTATAGCTACAGTGCTTTAAAATATGCTCCTGAAATCAGAATTCGCTACAGATGTAGGACCAAAGACTACTAGTCAAGGTAAGACCTTGAACTCAACGCTTTAAACTTTAGGGGCTGAATGCTTGTGTCTCTGGTTATAGCACTCTCCTGAAATGCATCTGTAATCTTCTCGAGTCTTCCATTCTGTAAACCTGATCTAATATTCTTAGATATTGCAAATGCACATGATGGAATGACAGAGAACCAACAATTCTACATGTTTGTTAGGTTTTTTTAATAAAATATTTACAGTTGGGGAAAAACAAATCTGACACTAGTGACCTTAAGTTCTTGCACATCTGTTTTGTGGAGCTTGCTCTCTCTCCATGCAAATTGTATACCAGTAAGAGACTTATAGATGAAGACTAATGGATGTTCCAGTTAATCTGTATTTCCAAGGGAGGGTTACATCATCAGTGCGTTATTCATCTTTCTGTTATTATTGTGTTAACTCCAGCAACTACAAGAAGTGGAACAGTTAAGTAGCCTTACCTGTAATTATAGTAATTTTTATAAATTATATGACTTTACATTTTCTACTTAAGGCAAATTGCTTTTTAAACAACAACAAAGAACAACAAAGCTGCTTGACTAGTTTTTGTGTAGTACTTCCTATTCTCAGTGCCTGTTGTTTTTAATGTAAGCAATAAAATCTTGGCTGCTCTCCCTCCTGTCACTTAAAATTCCAGGATGGCTTTATCAAATGCTTCTGAGGCAAAACTTGTAATTACCACAGGTCTGGTAGGGTTTTGCATATTTGTACAGTAGCCTTGTTTATTATTTATTTATTAAATTAACATAGCAAATACAGCATCTCTGTGTCATTTTAACAACTTGTGCAGTCATAATGAACTTCACATAAAGTTTGTCAGGATTAGACTTCAAAAGTGGGAAAGTTCTGTTAATTTCATGAAAAGCAATCTTGCAGGAAGGCTCTGTTGGTGCTCCCCCTGAAAAGTAAAATCACGTAGGCTCATTCCTTTTTTCAGGGGAGTTACTGGGAAGAGGAAGATATCGTTGTCCACAGGGCATGTCCTTGGTTTCTTACTGCAGATCAGAAAATCCACTCAAGTGACATACTGCAGTAGCAGATGAGGCTCTGGTCAGTCCTGTTGATAGATGTACTTGTTCTGTTCATCATTTGAACTCCAAGTATTGAAAGATGAGATCACTGTAGACTGATGTAAACTGACGTAATATCTGCTGATCTCCAGCCTTCCCAGAGCTTCAGACATCCAAGTTATACAACTTCATATTAGTAACATAGCTCCCTCACAAGAGGGGAAACTCTACACTCTATTGTAAATTCAGTAGATTGTTCAAGTAGTTCCTGCTCAATTTGGCACTCCTGCTCAGTAGTTTCAGGCATTCCCAGTTCACAAAGAGTAGCTGCAGAGATTTAAACTCTTACATCTCAGCTCTGGTCTGGATCTCCTGGCACTGATGAATGCTCTCTGCCAAATGCTGCTGTGTGCTGCTGTAGGAAATCAATAACTGTTAGAGTGCATAGTCTGCTATCTGTGTATAAACAACTGCCAGAGTTGACGTAATGTCACGACACAGATTGTATGCAGAATCTTCGGACTCATTTCCTTTGTCTTGTGGCGGCCAAGAGGGTGTACTGGGCAACTGGGAACCTGTTACTGATTCATAGTGCCACCACAATGTTTGCCATTCCCCTTTCTGGTAGTGTTGGCAGCTGTCAGCAAATGCATATTCCCTTGTAAGCAAACTTATAGAAGGGAAATTTATCCTAGAAAACAGCCTGAAGTAGCTTCAGCACTATTTTAGGAGTACTTGTCTTTCTTGAGCTATTTTTTTGTATATTACAGGCTTTCCCACTAATTGTTTTTGGGGTTTTTCAAGTGTGAAATTATGTCTTGAATAAATACTACAGTATTTTGGAGAGGACTTCTGAAACTTTCTAAATCCACTTCTACAGACCACACACGATGCATCCTCTGCAGTACCCACTCTAGTGTGGTAGCCTGTTGTCTACATGAGGATTACATTTGCTTTGCATATCAGTATGAAAGTGGGGTTTTGCAATTTTTCAACCACCCCAGACTCTACATCTATTGAATAAACCCCATAAGAAGAAAAATTACTTTGTCTTCTTGCTAATTTTTTGTCTTACCCAAAGATTTCTGACAACCTTAGTAAAAACTGCTTATGAGTTTTTCTTATTCTGTTAAACTTTTTTTTTTTTTTTTTTTTNCTCTCCTTTCAGTCCCTGCATGCTGCTCCGCTCGCTACAATCTTGCAGTCCTGGCCTGTTTTGGGTTCTTCCTCCTGTATGCATTGCGTGTGAACCTCAGCGTTGCTCTGGTGAATATGGTAGAACCTGACACAAGCTCAGCAAAGAATGTGACTTCCAATGTGTGCCCAGAGCATTCCTCCACCACAAATGTTTCTCGCAACACTACGGTGAGGTCTCAGACGTGTTGTCTTGTAATGTGGTGTCTCAAAGTGGCTTTAGAACTCTGTGATAGATAGAACCATATTAGGTGACAAGAGAACAGGCTATTTTTTACTGCATGGCCTTTCCAGTGGTTCTTTCAAAGCTATTCTGGGAAATATTAGCCTTAAATGACTAGCTAATTGAGAAGGGCTGTGCTCAGGGTCAGCTTTTTTACATACCTCTTTTCTGTGCTATTCCTTAGAAATTGGCTAATCTGATGACGTAGATCTACCATGACTCACTGTTTTATAGGCCACTTACCAATTCTTTTTGTTATATCTGCATCAGAGCTACCATTACTGTCCAATTTGCCTGTTCTTTGTACAGTCACAATGGCATGAAATTTAATTACAAATTAACATGTAATATTTCTCTTTTCACTTCTTCGATCTCTTTCCCAGATCACGCATTTTGTCTTTATATATTTTACCTCTGAATTCCAGTAATCCTTAAAATCACATTTCATAACTGAACTGCTGGATATGGAAAAGCAGACTTCTAAAAAAAAAAACTAACTTTGTGAATTTGGACTTGTACAGATCTTGTCTTGTGGTTGAAGTAGTCCTGAACACTCTTGCAATCTTCTTGCTTTCATTTTGTTTGCCTGTTTAGAAGTCATTTATTATTTATCGCAAACAAATTATAATGGTGAACTTTATGGGAAGATTCTGTCTCATCATTTCTGTGAAATGCATGCTGCTCATTTAGATGCAGAAAAATTGGTCTTTTGGAAGTGATCCCAAATTTCAGAATCGATTGGGCAACAGTTCTTGTCTTTTTGCTGGCTTCCTTTATAGCTGCAAATTCCTGTCTCAATCATCTTCACTTTTATTGTATTATCCACTAAACTCATCTTCCCTCTGTTGTGCTTCTCCCCTTATTCCACTTACCCTTGTGAGCCCTGTCCTTAACTGCTCTCTCTCTTGACATGAAATTTAAGCACATGCATCTCCTTATTTGTTTTCTTTTTATCCGTAAATATTTTGCAGGTAAAGGCTTTTTATTGAGCATGACAGAATGTCCACTCTGTGATTTGGAAGTGGGATTTGTACTCAGGCAAACTTACACAGTCAGCACCTGTCACCTAACCCAAGCTGCTTAGAATTCAAAAAGGGATAACTGACAGAGCACTTGTATTTCATGTAGTGATGATTTTCATGCTTGGGTTAGATATGTCCAAACAGATTGTAAACTACCTGAACTAGCTTTTAACACAATTGTGATTGCAGTACAAGTGAGTGCTGCAAAAGGAGACCCTAGGGAGTAGGTCACAAAAAAAATGAAATTTATCTAAAAAGGACTAAATAATAGATCAATGTAATAAAAAATATGGTCAGAGAAACTGCTATCTTTAACTTACTGCATTTTGTTGGATTTTTTTCTTTTCTTAGGGACAAAAGTATTCTTGGGATGCTGACACTCAGGGATGGATCCTTGGTTCTTTTTTCTATGGCTATATTATTACTCAGATTCCAGGAGGATATCTTGCAAGCAGAATTGGAGGCAAACTGTTGCTGGGGTTTGGCATCTTTAGTACCTCTGTATTCACCTTGCTTACTCCCTTAGCTGCAAATTTGGGAGTAGGCTACCTCATAGCTGTCAGAGCCTTGGAAGGACTGGGAGAGGTAATCCTGTTTCCTCTATGTAATTTGAAAACGTGTCTGAATAATTTGTTTAAAATTATAGTGATTAGACTCTGGGGTTGTTATGCTGGAATAGTATATGGATTGTTTCATTTGAGTGGCTTTGTTTTATGTTTTTTAGAATAATTAAAGCATTTGCACTATATTTTAGCCTAAGCTTTTCAAATAAGAAATGTAAGGATACTTGAGACAAAACTATTCTCATTTTTCAGAAACCAGGGCCTCAAAACAATGTTGTTTGTATTGCTGCTGCTTTTCCAGTACATACAGACTCAAAAGCAGGAGAAATTAATTCTGCTTCCTTATTCTCATGCCTTGCACAATTTTTATAAGTGGTTTCTTGGTAGACAACAAACTAATAGATTGTACTACTGCTTTTTAATGAAGTGTGCTTTGAAACATGTAAAGTTGAAGTGAGTTCTAAAATCCTTGCATTTCAACAGTATGAAATTGTTTTCTAGGGTGTTACCTTCCCAGCTATGCATTCAATGTGGTCTTCTTGGGCTCCTCCACTGGAACGCAGCAAGCTCCTTAGTATTTCATATGCAGGTGAGAATTCCCACACTGATAATGGGATTATAAATTTTTCTACAGTAACAGGGAGGATTGACTTAAAAGGATTTATATTGTAAATTGTAATCAGCATTTAATCCTGAAAGTGTAACATTAAAGTAAATCTTGCTTTCCATTAGTTTTCTTCATTTATTCATGCTTTTTATAACCTGACAAAAGGTATTGATCTACAAATAAGTATAAACTTTGGTATAAGTGGTGAAAATAATTACTGTGAAGCTGATTAATAGAAGATACTGTACAAAAAAAAGATTTAGCATTAGGAACAAAAAAGCTGGGGCAGTCACAGGATAGAGCTGTTTGGTTGGTTTTGGGAGGGTTTTTTAAGTGTTCTTGGAGGAACTTGGGGGAGAAAACATCCAAGGTCCCTTGTATTGCTGCAAGAGCTCTTTGTTGGAGTCAAATACTCTGACCAAATTGTCCTAGATATTCTGTGTCTGGGAGGTGTCATGTTTGATATCAGATTTAATTCTTTGAAGATACTTGATGTTACACAGGATTTTTGATTTAGCAAAGTGATACGGAATGTACTGAAAGCACGGTACAAATGTAAGTTAGCACTTAGCAAGTGTAAGTTGACACTTAGCAAAATACAGCAATTGCAATACACTTCAACTTGGGTTGACTGCAAGTCAAGTCTGTTGTTCTCTCAGAAATTCTGTTGTTTAACTTTTGTACTTTGTGTTCGACTGACCCATGTACTCATTTCCCCTGTCGGTCTGGCTAAGTCAGTGTGACAGTCTCACTTTTAATGGACTGAATGAGGAGAAACATTTACACCACCAGCTGCTCCTGCTTATCTAAACCAAAGCCATTCTCTGGTGCCCTTTTTGTTGAGATAAGGTCAGCTTCTTTGCAGCAGCTGTGGTTGGTCACACCCAGTGTTATCCCCAGGTGAAGGACATGTTGTTCTTGCCCACCTCCACTGAGCCTTCTTTTTCGGGGTTTATTGGTCAGTCACATTGCTCAGTGCAGTATTTGAGGGGCAAATACTACAGGTTTCTAAATTTGCTAGTCAAAATTGATATTATTTCTTTGAGGATGACAAATTTTGTATTCAGTTACTGAAGTAACTGAATGTAATGGTTTGCTTTGCTCACTCTTATTAGTAATAATTTGGTTTTTTATCAAGAAGACAGACATTTATACAATGTAAACTTTAGCTACAGTTTCTTAAGGTGCTAAGACAGTCTGGTGACTCACTTTTCCCAGAGGGATGCAACCTTAATCTTTTTTCCTCCCATTTCCTCACTTTGCTCTAAGTGTCTCATCACTTGTTGAAGTGACCCTTCAAAGAGCTACCTCAACTCATCTAATGCATCAAGAAGCTTTTTTCTTTCTATTCTTTTAAAAATCTTCGCATTTAATTAAATCTACTTTAAAATAATTCTTCTTCTGAGACCCAGCACACAAGCAGAGCATACAGAGTTGGGATTACCTTCTACTGCATTTAGTAATTGAGAGCTTTTAAACTGTCCTTTTTTATTGTGTGAAAATATATGCTAATGTACTAGTGAGAAGATTCTGTACCCTTGAACAGCCCATTGTTAGCAGTCACGGGTGGATAATACATCTTGTGTAATCTTGGCAGACTGTTTTCCTTTCCTTCCACGTTGGCAGTCATGTGGTCTGTAGTTAATTTAATCACAGTTGTGTTGATTTTCTGAGAGAACATGTGGTGGAGGTTATATGTAGCTGTTACTGTGATTTATATTTTGCATGATGTATGTGGTTTTATTCATTGTTGGAGCTTTCTGCCTCAGATAAAAATTGTTCCCATGAAGATGGAGTCTAGGTAGTCAGGATATCAACATAATCTTAATATTTTCTGAGTGGAGATTAAGTTTGGAGAAGTAACTTTGCAGCTAACATTAAGAGACAAAACCTACTATTTATCACCAGTAGAGTGTCAAGTATGTAAATACTATGAGTTTCTGGTTTAGATTTCAAAAGGGAAACATCTGCCATCCTTACTCTTTGCAAAATGTATGTTGAATTATAACAGGAATAGTTCTTTCTGGCTTTTGGCTTTATTCTGAACTAGAATCTGCTCATCTTTCCCTTCTCCCTTGATCCTAGACCCTGTCACATTCAGGAAACATGGAATTTGAACTCACTGTTTATATATGCCTGACTTCTGCTTCATGTTTCTAGCATTCCTGGTTTTGTGGCACTAGAAGGAGATATGAGAAATGCAAATGAACTATATTGTCATTATATTGTTATTCTATTCTATTCTACTCACTAACTATGTTATATTCCCAAGGCCTTAATTATACTGTGTCCAGCTCTCTCTTGTTTTGCAGCAGTACCAGTTGACTAATTTGCATTGGTTTAGATATGTTAGAGCCATCACTTTACTATGACAAATATGCAAAGAATGCTTATCTTTTATTGCTTGTTGCTTCTAATTTTGGCGTCTTAGAGCTTTATGGCTCTATTTGCTTGCAGCTGCCAAGGCAGTTCATTGTCCCTGTAGTTCTTTAAAGCAAAGCACAACCCTCTAGTGGCAGTGACAATCTTTATTCATTAATTATTACAGAAAAATAAAATAACTCTGAAATGACACTTATACTTAAGGGTTCGATAGAAGATTTGATTATTTTTCCACTTTGTTTTGCTTTCTTCTGGTAGGTGCACAGCTGGGAACTGTTGTGTCTCTGCCACTATCTGGTTTAATTTGTTACTACATGAACTGGGTTTATGTGTTCTACATATTTGGTGAGTTTGTGTTGTTTTGATTTTTTTTATTATTAAAAGTACAATCCATATTATTTTTGAAAAGCATATCTTATAAAACTTATTTTAAGTTTTAAAAGCTTGTTTGACATGTTGGGTTGCTGTTTTATTCCTTCTGGGCAATTAGAGATGTTTAAGGCTAAGTAGATTCCAGTGAATGGCTAAATAAGCCTTCTTCCAGTGAGCAAAGCTGTCTCTGAGTTGGACAAAAGCTGGTACAAGTCAAATGCTCTTAGCTCTCCCACCACTTGAAAACAACAGGCTGAAATTTCTTATTTGAAGTGTGAAATTGAGTTAATAACTTTAATCCCAGGAATAAATCTCAACTTTGAATGAAAGAACGTGCGAAAAGTTATTGCTGCTTAAAATGTAACCTGGAAAAGTCTCTAGAAGTCACAGGGACCCTGAAGGAATGCATAGCATGTTTACTGTGACATATTCTGGAGGAAGCTGAAACAGAAAATATTTTTTTTAAACAGCATGTCTTAGCTAATGCCTTTTACAGGTCTGTTTATGTATCTGAGCAATTTCATATTTTGCATGGGAAAGGCAGAATCGGAATATATAAAAGAAGAATTACATTTCCTCAGGAAAAAAAATCTCCAATTTTTTACAAATCACAAAGGCTCAAACCAAAGAACTGAACAAAATGAAACAAGTTACCATGTTACATAAAAGTGCAATAATTTGGACCAATCATTGAAAAGTTAACTTTTTTCAAATGACAGTTCTGGGGTTGGGTTAAGAAAGAAAAGGAAGAATACAACATAAATTAAGCTGCATGTAGTGATATTCTATATATGTGCACAGTGTATTTTTTGTGAATAAACTTAATGTGAACTTTTTATTTCCTGAGGGTGAGCCATATTCTTTGTGGCTTTTCCATGTGACTGATAAAAATACACCGATGTATGAGCACGCAGCTTTCTTGCTGCATGAAGAACTTCAAGTAGAGGAAAAAAAAAGAGGAAAAAATAAAAATAAAACATTCTGCTTAGTCATCTTCATTCTTTATTGTATCTAAATGTACATTGTTAAGCCACTTTGGGGAA